GGGAGGGCCAGGGACCTGAAGTCGATCTAGATCTCATGTTGCGCGTTCGCCAGCACCGCGGGCACCACCCAACAGCATTCACTCGAGCTTTGAACTTCCCAAGCCACAATGGAGCGGTGAAACGGAGTAATCAAGTGCTGCGATCCACTGCAGGCTTTATACGCGAGAACTGTGAAACGGGGCTGCATCGGTGCCATTTCTAAGTGGATAAAATTGCGTCGTATCCTGGGCTGGTCGGCACGAAATGCTTGCGCACTGATTGCCGGACGGCGGGCAGCAAAGACCCTCAGCGCAGCCCCGGGTTCACAGCAGCCGCATCCGCCCCGGAGCCGGCCCACCGAAACTTAAGTCTTCGTACAGATGCTCGGAGAAACGGTGAAGACGATGTGACCCACAACCGAGAGCGTGAAAGTGATGTGTTGATGTGTCAGCAACTTGTTTCTGTGTGTATCAAGAATAGAGCGCGCATGGCGCACTGGTGGTGCAGGTGGCGCGCTGGTTAGCCCCGGCGGATCCACTCATGGAAATGGACTGTCTTCAGCGAGGCTCCGTGGTGTGTGCAGAGATCAGCGCGCTGAATTCCATAACTGACCCGTCGACAACCAACTGTTCATACCCCAACCCCCAAACCCCCCAACTAGAGTAACCAGTGGAATGCAGAAGCCCTAACTCCATGTGCCTGGCGGGGTCGACCTAGCCACTGCCCCAGCTGTTGGTCGTGAGAAGCATTTTAGGAGCTGCATAAGGTACACTTTAAGACAACCGTGAGATTCGGCGCATTCGGGGATGCACTCTCACAAAACGATCGTGACATCCACCTCATGCGCAGGTCGACCGAAGACGTACAAACTGCGAGGACGAGGTTAGGTGAAGATGCCCACTCAGTGCTTCCATCACTTCCCTACTTGTCGAAGGGCCAATTACCTGTAGTGCTCTTCGTGATTGTGTGATGATGACATCGTAATGGGGCTGTGTGAGGAGCGTAGCACAAGCGTTTTAGACGGATTTAGAGAGAAGAGAGAGAGAGAGAGAGAGAGAGAGAGAGAAGAGAGAGGGGGGGGGAAAGGGGGGAAGAGAGAGAGAGAAGAGAGAGAGAGAGAAAAGAGAGAGGAGGGAAGTGAGAGCAGGTTCAAGAAACTTGCTCCTGTCAACTCCAAGGGAGGCGCATCTTTATCTCAACGACAGGCACTCAGCACACAATACCGGATCTTCCAAATTCGCCCGAACTGCGTCCGCGTGAGTCTGCGGCTGGCTGGTTTTCAACAGACGGGCTTACTCGCTTTATGTTTTGTAGTGTATGTGCTTGTATGTGTAAGGTGCAGGAAGACACCACAAAGACAAGGTGGTTGAAGGGTCAAAGATGTAGTCATGATGTTGCCGCGCGAGGTCAGCACCTGTGCATCTCGCTAAGGTGCAGGACACCAAGCTGTAGAATGGACGTTGGGAAGGTGAACTATATAGTGATTATTGGTGCAGAGGTCGAGGATATCAGCACTGCTTGTGCCGGATCAGTGCAGCCCCCCACCATGCCTATGTTACATGTGAGATCTACGTGAAGAGTGTCCTTAACAGGTAGCTACTGAAGAATCAGCCGCAAAAGTATGCCGACATGCACGTAGATACCTGGTTGAGTGCAGGGAATTCGTCAATAAAAGGTCAGTACTCGAGACTGTAAGTAGAATTCCGATGAGTTTGCTGTTGCCTTTGGCAAGCGCTCAAGCTCCCCGTCCACCCGATTTTTGGTGTGTGCACAAAACCCTTACCCTAAAAGGTTAAGGGAAAAACCTGGCCAAGGAAATCCATCGTTGTCTTGGACTTAGCGAAAATCATTCGATAGCAACACGAGTTGAGATCCATTCCTAACCTCTGATCAAAATGCACGCGACTTTTCACCCATCTGTTGCATACGGATCTTCAGGACACCGATGTTCCGCCATTTAAGCATACGCAGTCGTATCAGACTCCCCGACCCTCTAGCTGTGGGCTTCTTTCAGAGGAAACCGACTGACACACAGAGGCAAGGTCGACAGAGGGCAAGGGGCAACTGATAGGCTAACTAAACGGTTTACCGCACCCATTTTAACGATTCACTCATTTACAATGGTAGCGCCGCGCAATAGAACTTGAGCGAATTTTGCAAATCCAATCGTTCCACCGACTCAGTTTTGTATTGATGCTATGACTAAATAATAAAAGTGATCTTCCCAATCACTTCGCTGATTGCGCTACCGGGGGGGGGGGGGGGGGTGGGCTTTGCCACCTCTTCCTGAAGACCTGGAGCTGGTTTAGAGGCCTGGAGCTGTCTAGCTGTCTAAGCTGTCTATGTGCACAAATAAACGTTTTGTGTTTCAGACCTGATTCTCCCAGCTTCTGCAACCAGATTCAAGTAATGACATCGTCGATACTAAACCATGCTCTCTTGAACGAAGGGGGGGGGACGACGACGAGAAAAACATGTTGGATGTGCAGATAATACGATGGTAAATAAACATAAGTGAACTTCGTAATCAGACCATAAAATTTGAGTCCATGACCATTACAATTCATTCCGGGCCACTCAAGACCAACAATATCTGTTCACCTTCGAATGGTCCTTATGAGCGACTGGCATTGCCTAGATTTTGACATCTCACATATTTATGGCAAATGTCAAACTCTAGAAGACACGCAAAGCAAGAAGACACGAATACACGCAAACACGCAAAGTGCGTTCCAAATTTCAGCACAACCCATGCTTAAAGGTCTATTGAAAAGCACAAATCACCAGCATTGCTCAAAAATCTTAAGCATATTTCCAATATGGGCATTATGTAGTTCAGCCACACGGTAATTTAAACGTGTGCTTGTTACATATATTTTATAATATTGAACTAGGATCTTGAAAAATTATGACCAGGTGGGTAGCAGAGCTTGACTGATGGGTGATAAGGAATGCGTAGCGGACGAGCGCGGCCAAAACCGTATCAGTAGCAGAAGACTGAGTAAAGCGAATCCCACCATACAGGGTGAATGGACACAGCATCTACACACCACCTGTGAGTATATCCCGCGGAGGAGCCAGGGTCAAGGCGGCCCCTCACCACCCAGTGAAAGGCCCCTGCTGGCCTGCCGTTGCCGGTGTTATGTCACGAGTGAGTGATTCACCCGGAGAGGCTCATCAGTGCCGCCAGCTGAGCGGGTGACAGTGTCAGCCGCCCGGTGTGTCAGCCGCGCAGTGTCGGCGCCCGGCGACGCGGCTGGGGCGATGCGTGCGGCACTCCTCTACCTGGTGACAAAACACCTCAGATGCATAATGCATGTGCGTTTGTTCCGGTGACTGGGAGGTTTGAAGCCTCTACCACGAGGAGATTGTGTGGTGTGCACCATTGTGGAAATGGTGGGGAAATAATGTGGGGCAATGTCAAAATATGCGTGTGGGTGAAATGCAG